TCAATTTAGAAGCACGATAAAAATGCTAGAAGAAAATAATGTTGAATACCATCGGTATCAATTAAAAAGTGAAAAGCCATTTCGAGTTGTGTTACGAGGTATAAATCATGACTCAGATCCGGGAATAATAAAAAGCGAACTGTACGACCAAGGTCATGAAGTAATAAAAATAACCAATATTCAGATAAAGAAAAAATCCGATCCTAAAAACAAAAACAGCGAATGGACTCATATACGTTTACCATTATTTTTCGTTGACCTACAACCAAGGGAGAATAATAAAGACATATATAGCATACAATTGCTATGCCATCAAGTTATAAAAATAGAACCTCCGCGTAAGAATAAAGAAGTACCGCAGTGTAAAAATTGTCAAGCATTCGGGCACACACAAAACTACTGTCACAGATCTGCTGTATGTGTGAAGTGTGGCGAAGGTCATAGAACCACAGACTGTTCTAAACCTAAAAAGTCAAAAGCAAAATGTGCAAACTGTGATGAAAATCACACAGCCAACTGGAAAGGATGCTCTGCTTATAAAAAAGCAACAGAAAAAGCACACCCAAAAAAAGTCACTGCTGTACAAAGGATACAACAGAAACCAGCTCAGCCTGTGACAACAAACATTTCTTATACGCAGATGGCTAGTACTCCAAGTACTTCAAAAGATAACCAAATTGCACCTCAAGTATCTGTACAACAACCTAAGGAAAACAATGAACCTAGACTCAATGATATATTAGTTGCGTTAACCAATATAACACAAACACTAGCAAATATCACAGCGAGAATGGACAAGTTAGAAACAATACATAACAAGTCCAAAAATGCCAAACAGAAAAATAAATGATCCCTACACTTCGGATCATGACTTGGAACGCCAATGGGTTAGTACAGCGCAAACAGGAACTTGAAGACCTCTTACATAGAGATAACATCGATATAGCTCTTATATCAGAAATCCACTTTACAGCGCGGACCTTTCTGATGATTAGGAACTACCAAACGTATATTACATTACATCCCAGTGGTAAAGCTCGAGGAGGCTCAGCTGTAATAATAAAAGAGTCTATAAAGCAGCATGAGCATGACAAATACTCTGAAAACCATATTCAAGCTACCAGCGTTGTCGTAAATGACGGTATAAACCTTATAGTCACTGCAATTTACTGTCCACTGCAAGGGGGTGCAGATGAAATTAAGTTTACTGAATTTTTCCATACTTTGGGCGCTAGATTCATAGCTGGAGGAGACTATAATTCCAAACATACTCATTGGGGTTCGAGACTTATCACCCCAAAAGGACGTGCTCTATTAAAAGCTGCAAACAATATCAATGCTGAAATCATTTCCACAAGAAAAGCAACGTAGTGGCCAACTAACCAGTATAAGATTCCGGATTTATTAGATTTCTTTGTAATGAAAGGTATATCCTCTAATTACGTCGAAATAACAGATCTCATAGAATTAACGTCGGACCACATACCAGTTCTTCTCACCCTAAGTTCAAATATTATAAAAAAACAAAGCAAGGTGTCGCTCACCAATAAAATAACAGACTGGGACCTCTTCAGAGCTAATCTAGAAGAAATGATTACCCTCTCTGTAAGACTTAGAACACCAATTGAAATTGATAGCGCCATTGAACAGCTAACTAACAATGTTGTCAAGGCAGCAAAATTGGCAACACCTGAAATACCAGCACGAAGAAATTGTGAAATCACCTACCCAATGGAAGCCAGGGAACTAGTAAAAGAAAAGAGAAAAGCGTGGAAAAAAAGGCACCGAACGAGAGATCCATCCGATAAAACTATTTGGAACCGAGCTAGTAGACTTTTACATGATAAAATAAAAGAAGTAAAAAACGAAACGTTCAAAATATCTTACTTGAGTAACCTTTCAGCAACAAAAGACTCTGACTATTCGTTATGGAAGGCTACAAAACAAATGAAAAGACCTAGAGCCTATGTACCACAAATTCGCAAGGAAGATGGATCATGGGCACGTTGTGACCAAGACAAAGCTGAAATGTATGCACGCCATCTGGAACATGCATTTCAGCCGAACAATATCGCTTCTGAACTCGATATAGAACAGAATCAACCATTGGGCGAAACACGCGAAAAGATTAAGTACTTTACTCCAATTGAAATTGCTAAAGAAATCGATACGAATATCAATATAAAAAAAGCACCGGGCTACGACCAAATAAACCCGAAAATACTGAAAGAACTACCCAAAAAGGCTATGATTCATCTAACACACATCTACAATGCCATCCTGCGTACATAATACGTTCCTAAACAATGGAAACGAGCTCAAGTCATCATGCTACTTAAACCAGGAAAACCTCCTGAACAAGTAACTTCATACAGACCTATATCGCTTCTTCCAAGCTTATCTAAATTATTCGAAAAATTACTTTTAAAGCGTCTAAAACCAATAATAGAAGTAAAACAGCTTATTCCTGAACACTAGTTCGGATTCCGGAGTAAACACTCAACAATTGAACAGGTCCATCGTGTCACAAATATAATAAACAAGGCACTGGAAGAAAAAAAATACTGTTGTGGAGTATTCCTCGATATTGCGCAAGCTTTCGATAAAGTTTGGCAAAAAGGATTACTTACAATTGCCGCATACTTGGTGCGCGCTTATCGAGTTCTATCTGTCTGAACGTCAGTTCAGAGTTATACACGGAGAAGCAATAACTGACTGGAAAAACATATCAGCTGGAGTACCCCAAGGAAGTGTCCTCGGACATATTTTGTACTTACTTTACACAGCTTACATTCCAGTTAACAACTATTCAATGACAGCCATGTTTGCCTATGACACAGCAATATTGGCAACTGATGAAGATCAGCAGACAGCGACTGATCAACTTCAACGAACACTTAACAACGTCTCCAACTGGACTAAGCGTTGGAAAATCAAAATTAACAGTGACAAATCGGTACACGTAAATTACACTTTGCGTAAAAGTGTTTATTGTCCAGTAATGTTGGATCAACAAATCATCCCACAGAACGATGCTGCAAAATATCTAGGAATGCACATTGACTCACGATTAAACTGGAAACATCACTTTCGACAGAAAAAGTTGCAAATTAAAGATAAATTGAGGAAACTTTATTGGCTAATCGGAAGACACTCTGAACTAGACCTAATAAGCAAACGTCTTTTGTAGGTAGCGATAATTAAACCAATATTGACCTATGGAATACAACTGTGGGGTTGTGCCAGTAAGTCCAATATTGAGATTATTCAACGCTGTCAAAACATTGCTCTCCGTACTATTGTCGCAGCGTACCGGTACGACAGAAATGACACTATATCCACCGAGACTTGATGATGCCCTCAGTCCAGGACGAGATTACAAAGTTTGCCCGAAAACACGAGATAAGGCTAGATCAACACACCAATCCAGCAGCAATTCAACTACTTGACAACTCTCAAGACATAAGGCGTCTCAAACGCCGAAGACCATATGACTTAGTATAAAATACGTACGTTTCCCCAGCCCCCCCCACCTCGTGTTTTCGCAATTTTTTTTTGCAAAACATTTAGTACTGAATTTGTACGAATTTGTACGATAAAAAACACAATTTGTATGAATTAATTTATGCAGTTAATCCAAAATTTGAGTGGGGGGGTTGTAGAAACGTTTCACCAGCCCCCCACCACACTAAAAATACTTTTTTTCACAAAACAACTATGCAAATATTTAGTACGGAATTTGTACGAATTTGTACGACCGTCAAAAATATTTTTTGAAAATTCTTTCATCCCCAAAAACACATTTTACTCTTTTGCCGTTTCCCCAGCCCCCCCCCCACCACACTAAAAATACTTTTTTTCACAAAACAACTATGCAAATATTTAGTACGGAATTTGTACGAATTTGTACGACCATCCAAAATATTTTTTGAAAATTCTTTCATCCCCAAAAACACATTTTACTCTTTTGCCGTTTCCCCAGCCCCCCCACCACACTAAAAATACTTTTTTTCACAAAACAGCTATGCAAATATTTAGTACGGAATTTGTACGAATTTGTACGACCGTCAAAAATATTTTTTGAAAATTCTTTCATCCCCAAAAACACATTTTACTCTTTTGCCGTTTCCCCAGCCCCCCCACCACACTAAAAATACTTTTTTTCACAAAACAACTATGCAAATATTTAGTACGGAATTTGTACGAATTTGTACGACCATCCAAAATATTTTTTGAAAATTCTTTCATCCCCCAAAACACATTTTACTCTTTTGCCGTTTCCCCAGCCCCCCCACCACACTAAAAATACTTTTTTTCACAAAACAACTATGCAAATATTTAGTACGGAATTTGTACAAATTTGTACGACCATCCTCGAAAATTTCTGAAAATTCCTTACAACCGAAAAACGCATTTTTCTAATATGACGTTTCCCCAGCCCCCACAACAGACTAAAATTACGTTTTCCAAAAAAATTTCTATGCAGTTTATCTAGTATGGAATTTTATATAACATTGTTTAAATAATTATTGTTAACCAATTTTGCAAATACAGTTTTTCATCCCTGAAATATAATCTTAATAAATATCACCTACCTACTTGAATATTGTATTGATTTACATAAGTAGGTAGATTGTAGATACAATAATAATATTATTCATTGTTACCACTATAATAGTTTATAATACACAATTATTATTATACGTGTCGCATGTTAAACAACCCGTTTAGGGCAACACTGCGTGCAGATGTGCTTTTCAGTTATCATTTGTGAGGTTATTTTTATAACAAATATTAATATGTATTTATGTTATTTTGATTATTTTCAATAACTTATACTATTATCAGTAAGATGTGTGGATTTTTAACGTTTTAACTATTTTATTTGTAAGTTTTTACATTAGTTCCATTTTGTTTCTGAGTTCTGTGTTTTGCGCCCTTGTAATTAAATTATAAACAGATATTAGGTACCAGCCATCGATCTCAATATTATTTTGATCATGCGTGGGCGAAAAACTAGTGTACCACATCAGGTGATCATTGATGCAGTTATTTTATTTAAAGACCGAGTTATAGCCACTGACAATGATGGTGTTAAACGTAAGTACCTACCTATTATAATAAGTAATAACATACTGACATATAACATTTATAATTGCATGGATCAATTTTAAAAACATGATTTTTTTTCTCCCCTTTAATTAAAGAAACACAATATTGGCAGGTAGTACCTGCTAAGTCCCTACTAAGGTAATCGAAATAAATATGAGAAAATGTACAACAAAACTGGAAAAGTTTTTTTATTCAAACCAACTTTATATTACTTTAAAATGTTCACTGTTTTTTAATGATTCATATTCATATAAAATCAAGAAATAATCAATATTTCAATAATTATTAATCTTGTTTCTACGATCAACAAGACCTTAGCCCAAATTTGATAATTGTAGTAATTGTACTGTATTTGAAGAAAATTGTTGTCCGAAAAATTGAACAACTTTTGGCAATCATGTGGTGCTAACGCACCATGCTATAGCGTGTTCTAAAATCATACTTATACCCCACCCGGTACCACGCCATAGGTCCACAAGTTTCATATCTATCGCGGCAACGAACAGTTTATAAATACCCAAATATTATCGATACGAAAATAAACGAGTGGATCACTGCAGCTACTCCATTGAAGTTTCAAATTCAAAGTTATGGTAATTTTTACCATTACTGTTATTTACCATTCAAATCTTGATAGAATTTTTTTCATTAAATACAGATTTATTTATTTAATTTAGATTTGTTTCTAGTTTTTATTCTACTTGTCTTTTTTTATTGAAATACAAATTATGAATAGATCTAAATTTGATAAGAAACCTAAGTAGAACAAAAAAAATCTTGATTGAATAAAAAAATCTATATTTAATAAAAAAAATGTAATTAATAGAAAATTTAAATATAATAAAATATCTATATTTGTTAAAATAAACTGTTTCATAAAAGATTTCTATCAAGATGCATTTTCTATAAATGATACAATTTTCAAAAAAATTTCAAAACCTTTTTAAATTATTTATAGACATTTGAAATTTTCAATCTTTTTATTCTTTTTTTTTTTTAAATGACAATAACATTTTATTCGTTGGGTAAAAAAGCTTCAAAATTTAATACAAAGTTTCTAATATATTCTCACGATAGCAGTGAAAAAATATTAAAAATAAATAATCATGATTTTTTTTATAACTATTTAAAGTTCAAATTTTGACAAAATTTGTTTAATTGGAAATTTACAAATTCTTTAGGTGTTAAAAATGTATAAAATATTTTAATTTTATAGCTAAGTATTGAAAATTTGATACAAGGTTCCAAGTAACATAATGAATCTAATTTGATTAATTTGGAATTTATTTTATAGGTACCTACATTTTGTTTAAAAATAATATAATTAATATTGTATAAAATATCCAAGACTGAAAACTCGTCTCCGATCGTTTTTCGTATACAATGATAATATTATATCATAGAATTCAAATTTAATACCATGCATTACAGTAACCCACTTGTAAACTACTGTACAGCAGAGCGACATCCACTTACCCCCTTTTAGATTCTGAAGGAAGTGATGAATGAATTGATTTTACAATGATATGTTTTTTTTTTTTTTTTGCGTCTGTGTACAGCATAACTAGTCGAAATAATCCTTCAATTTCAAACTTCGGGGTGGTTTCCGATGACAAAGTGAATATCCTTGGTGCATTATAGAGGTCAAAATTAAACATTTTCCGACAGTTTTCAAAAAAATCGAGAAAAACAAAAAAAAAGTGACGGAAAAACAGGAATTTTTACGCAAAACCTGTTTTCGACCAATTAGACGAAATTACATATTAAAATCAATATTTACGATCTTGGTTTTCGTTGTAATTTAAAAATATTATTCGGGGATATATGATACCTAATGGATATTGTGATATGATTAATTTGGAATTTATTATAGGTATCCATTATAGGTCAATTTTTTTTTTAATATCATCGATAAGTATATATTATGTCTTATACCTAGATTGACATACCGTCTCCACTCAGAATCGTTTTTCTTATACAATGATATTATATCATTGAATTCAAATTTAATACCATCCATTGTACCCTGACCCACTTGTAACCTACAGTACAGCAGAGCGACATCCACTTACCCACCTTTTTTTGTTTATATCTAAGTATAAAAAATTCAACACTAAGTTTTCCATAAGTTTTCTTTCTAGTAGCTATAGATAAAAGTGTCATTATAGGAAAAATGTTATGAACGTTTGAATTTTAAATTTTTACGAAAACACGTAACGATAACGATTTGTGCTCAAACGATTTTAAATATTTGTTATTATTCAAAAAGTATAAGTCGTACAAGATACTTGAAAATGTCACCAGTTATTTAAATTGGCATTTTCTTTACATGATACCTATCATTACATTCAAATTTAACATTTCTATAATATATAATAGTAATCCATACGGCACCTAATGTACAGCAGAGCGATACCCACTTACCCGCTTTTTTATCTATGAATTTTATGTTTATTAATTTTATTAGACGTTGTTGTTGGAACAAATGATGTATGGATGGATATAAGTATGCATTTAAATGGGAGGATAAGTAAAAATGCATTACATTTGTTTGTTCATAACGGCAGACATGGAGTAAAAGAAGCATTAGGCTTACTTCCTGCAATAGTACAGGAAAATACAAATCAAATGAAGAAACCAGATGAGTTGTATTGTCAAACTGATTCAGGTATGCATTTTTTTTGCTTACATAATAATTATATGATCTTACATTGAAATAAAAGTATGCAATAAATACTCCAATTTGTTCTAAATGAAGGTAAATTACGAGAGTTAAAAAAAAATGATTTGTGATGAATATCACATTTATCATGCACTCATTCAAAAAAGTTAAAATTGTTTTATAACATTTATTTTGTGTATTTATTTGCAATAGACTTGACTGATGATAGTGACAATCCTGATTTTTTGCCAAAAAAAGAATTTGTCTTTACATTTTCACCATCCGAATGGCAGCAAATACAGCCTCAAGAAGTTATTTACAAAGCAAGTGATAAAAACCGTCCTATGAGAAGCTGTCGTTCTTATTATGTCTTACCAAAAGGCTCGTGGACCCCACTGTTGGCTGAACATTTTTGGGAACACACGAACTTGCCATGTTGTATCTCATTCAAGAGAGCTAAAGTGTTCACGGAAGGAAACGTGTATATTTGTGTCATAGGAAGGTGTTCGATTTGTTGTTCTCACTTTAAAGGGATTGTTAAAGAAAAACCTTCTGGAAATTCAAGGTTTGTTAAGTTAATTACATTCAAGATTATATTAATTTAATAATTTGTGATTCAGAGAACATAGATAAAAAATATGTACGTTTAAGTATATAATACCAAATAATAGAAAATATTATAAAAAAAAATTCAACCCGTGGAATTTTGAAAGTAAAAATTATAAGTGTTAAGTTTTAAGTATCTGGATTAAAAAATGTTGATTAGGTTTAATGCAATGCTTATAATATATTAGAAGTAAAATAGCTGAACAAAAAATTTTATCCGATTTGCTGTCGTATTTTTCAATCTTAAAACTATTAATCTTACTTAAATATTTAAAATTTAGCTAAGCAATATACTTTGAATAACAAATAATTTTAATTGATATAAAAAATATAATTAAGGAAACCCCAACCCTATTTGAAATCGGTACTTGTTCAAACTTGGAATGCAAAAGGCCCACAAGACAACCCGTAACCTACATAGCATATCAAACATCTAATGAGAGCATACAAGATTTGCAAATGTTTATAAATGAACGAATGGCAACAGAGAGTAATGTATGTTGTTATAAAGATTGTAGTGGAATCAAAACTTTAACACCAACTCTTTCAAATGAACATATTGTTATAGAAATTCTATATTGGAACAGTAAGTGAAAAAAATCAACTTTGATTTTTTTTTTTTTAATTTATACATTGTTTTGGTATGTTACAGATGATGAAACAACATGTAGTTCAGAAGTAGGTCACTTAATTGAAGTACAGTTATGTGATATTCCTCAAGTTTTAATATATAAAGATTTAACATATGAATTACGAGGAGTAGTAAATTATCGTAGAGGAAATAGTAAGCTAAGAACATCAGTAGGGCATTACAATGCTTACTGCAAACGAAGTGGAAAACAATGGGAATTAATAGATGACCTAAAAAAGAAGGCTGTATCATCAAAAGAGAATACGAAAGTAATTTGTGAATTCGTTATATACAGTATTTAAATTGGTAAAGTGTTAATATAAGGTATATTATCATAAAAATGATGTATTTAAAGATAATAAAGGATGTTTTTTCACTTAACCTGACATATTTTTACATATTATTTTATGTTTTATAATATATAATTTCTAAGAATATTGTGATAAATAATAACTAAAACACGATCAACAGGAGCGTAAAAATGATTTATTACTCGAAAGTCATAAGTCACTAATCACCAACGGTGAGTGGACACCAACGGTGTGTAAGTCACATATATAACAAAACTAGTAACGTTTTAGATTCTACAATCTATAGTTAAGTAGTGATTTTGCGTAGCTTCCTACAAGTTTACGAATTTCACGCTGTATTTAAAATGTACAAAATACTCGTAATAATAATTATAAATTCATATAAATTCCGTACAAAATATTTGCATAGTTGTTTTGTGAAAAAAAGTATTTTTAGTGTGGTGGGGGGGCTGGGGAAACGGCAAAAGAGTAAAATGTGTTTTTGGGGATGAAAGAATTTTCAAAAAATATTTTTGACGGTCGTACAAATTCGTACAAATTCCGTACTAAATATTTGCATAGTTGTTTTGTGAAAAAAAGTATTTTTAGTTTGGTGGGGGGGCTGGGGAAACGGCAAAAGAGTAAAATGTGTTTCTGGGGATGAAAGAATTTTCAAAAAATATTTTGGATGGTCGTACAAATTCGTACAAATTCCGTACTAAATATTTGCATAGTTGTTTTGTGAAAAAAAGTATTTTTAGTGTGGTGGGGGGGCTGGGGAAACGGCAAAAGAGTAAAATGTGTTTTTGGGGATGAAAGAATTTTCAAAAAATATTTTTGACGGTCGCACAAATTCGTACAAATTCCGTACTAAATATTTGCATAGTTGTTTTGTGAAAAAAAGTATTTTTAGTGTGGTGGGGGGGCTGGGGAAACGGCAAAAGAGTAAAATGTGTTTTTGGGGATGAAAGAATTTTCAAAAAATATTTTTGACGGTCGTACAAATTCGTACAAATTCCGTACTAAATATTTGCATAGTTGTTTTGTGAAAAAAAGTATTTTTAGTGTGGTGGGGGGGCTGGGGAAACGGCAAAAGAGTAAAATGTGTTTTTGGGGATGAAAGAATTTTCAAAAAATATTTTGGATGGTCGTACAAATTCGTACAAATTCCGTACTAAATATTTGCATAGTTGTTTTGTGAAAAAAAGTATTTTTAGTGTGGTGGGGGGGCTGGGGAAACGGCAAAAGAGTAAAATGTGTTTTTGGGGATGAAAGAATTTTCAAAAAATATTTTTGACGGTCGTACAAATTCGTACAAATTCCGTACTAAATATTTGCATAGTTGTTTTGTGCAAAAAAGTATTTTTAGTGTGGTGGGGGGGCTGGGGAAACGGCAAAAGAGTAAAATGTGTTTTTGGGGATGAAAGAATTTTCAAAAAATATTTTGGATGGTCGTACAAATTCGTACCAATTCCGTACTAAATATTTGCATAGTTGTTTTGTGAAAAAAAGTATTTTTAGTGAGGTGGGGGGGGGGGGCTGGGGAAACGGCAAAAGAGTAAAATGTGTTTTTGGGGATGAAAGAATTTTCAAAAAATATTTTGGATGGTCGTACAAATTCGTACAAATTCCGTACTAAATATTTGCATAGTTGTTTTGTGAAAAAAAGTATTTTTAGTGTGGTGGGGGGGCTGGGGAAACGGCAAAAGAGTAAAATGTGTTTTTGGGGATGAAAGAATTTTCAAAAAATATTTTTGATGGTCGCACAAATTCGTACAAATTCCGTACTAAATATTTGCATAGTTGTTTTGTGAAAAAAAGTATTTTTAGTGTGGTGGGGGGCTGGTGAAACGTTTCTACAACCCCCCCACTCAAATTTTGGATTAACTGCATAAATTAATTCATACAAATTGTGTTTTTTATCGTACAAATTCGTACAAATTCAGTACTAAATGTTTTGCAAAAAAAAATTGCGAAAACACGAGGTGGGGGGGCTGGGGAAACGTACGTGTATAAAATGTTAGACTAAGACCGGGCCTCTCCATTGGGAGTGATAACCCAAACATGTTTTTGTTTATATATATCTACAAAATATTATTCATTAGTTTCTTATATTTATGTATACCTCTGAAATGTATTGTTAAAGATCATTGATCGTTATAATAAAAAGCCATCAGGTGGTTTAAAAAAAAAAAAAAAATTAGTATAAAAGCTTACCTTTAATAACTGTGAATGTATAAACGTAAATCGTTTTTAAATGTTTAGTGTTATGAATTATAATTAATTATGTAAGCAATTATTAAGGACTTACGTTTATTTGTTTCTGTAATTATATAAATATATACATTTGTAGAGGCATAATAATTACTAAAGTTATTAAAATTTATCAAAAAAGTATGAACTATTATATTATATTACTTTCATCAACTGTGAATGTATAAACGTAATTCGTTATTAAATTAGTGTATTGTTATAACTTATAACTTATAAATTATTTTAACAATTAGTGGACTTACAAATTCTCTGTTCTGTAAATGTTTAAGCATAATATTTATTTTAAGTTATTAAAATTATGTAAAATAATTGCATACTTATATATTTTTGTTATTTCATTACCTACATAATTGTTATCTTAACCTAAATTGCTCATCGTCATTCGTTTGTACACCATTTGTATGCATTTGTATGATACCTTTCAACCCTCAATTTTGAAATCCACTCTTCTTGGGTTGGATACACATTATCCCAGCAAGATTAGATTTCAAAATTAGGGGGTTGATAGGTATCATACAAATGGCGTAAAAATGAATGAAGGTGAGAAATTCCAAATTCCGTTAAGAGGACGTGTCACGGAAAAAAATCACTCGAAAAATGCCTTTAAAAACATGTTTGCGCATTCCAATAACATGGGTTACTGAGTGGTTTTATCATAAAAGCACCTATGAACAAAATTATAGAGGAAAATTTTATCTGGTTCTGTAAGAAGCCCGATTTTTGAAATTTTCATTTCTAAGTCCTAAAATTAACTTCCGGAAAATTAAAAAAAAGTGTATTATTAATCATGATATATTTCATGATGTTTTAAAGATATCAAAAATTGGGCTTCTTCCAGAACCAGATAAAATTGTCCTCTACAATTTGGTTCATAGGTGTTTTTACGATTAAACCACTCAGTAACCCATATTATTGGAACGCGCAAAGTATGTTTTATAAGAAAACTGCAGAAAATTACGCTCGGCAAGTGCTGCGCCCGTAGGCAGTGGCAGAGTTCGATACTAGCTGTGCATACCACCACATCGCGCGCATTAACGGCAGTGGACCATGGTCAAAACAGGTTCTCTATCGCAGCCGACCGCCCGTACATGGTTTATAAATAACCAGGTAAGAAAATTATTATTATATTTGTGACAAATATTATTTAATTTGGTTCGATTTTATATTTTGTATTCGTATCCAAATTTTATACAAATAAAAACTATACTTTTGTTCTTCAAGTAGGTAATAGTGAAATACTGCTTATTGAAGCAGTTTACAATAAAATTACCTATTATGAAAATTGTAGAGGAGAACTTTCTTAACAATCGGAAGGAATCCGATTTTTGATATCGTATTCCAATCGTCCAACATCGCATGGTAAATTAACAATTATTTTTTTTTACTTTTAATCGATTAATTATTTAACTTATTAATAAAAATATAAAAAATCAAGCTTATTTCGGTTGTTTAAAAAATTATATTCTACAACTTTTATAATAGGTAGTTTTGCTGTAAACTATTTAAATAAGCCGTATTACTTGAATTATCGAACAATTTGGGTATGATAAAAAAAAGAAATAGGTACTCAAAAACAATTTATAACAATTAACAGAAATCATTCAATGTAGACAATCTGAGCCACAACCAGGTAAGTGGTACATATTATAAATTGAATATAATTAACCAAATAAAATTACAGATGATAGATAATATAAAAATATATACTATTGTAATTACATGAAAAATTGTTGAAATATACAATTAATATGTAGTACATGTAGTCATCCTTGACACGTGTGTACAATATAGTAACTAGTTATGTACGAGCATAAGACTCACTCTCTTTACGGATGTAACATGACCTCGGTCGTGCATATATATAGGGCCTTTGATGTACCTATGTAATATTCACTTGCACAGGCGTCGTTGTACAGAGCGTATACGATGTGTGTGTACTGTCACAGTTTAATTGTCCAGTTGTACGTTATTATATATTATACTTATACATAATCATATTGTCGTGTTATTACTTATTATATTAATGCTAACATCATTAGTCCGTCAAGCTTCACTTTCAACAAAAATTAAATACCATAAAGGTATTTATCAGTAAAAAAGGCAAAAAAAGTCAAAATAAAATACGTTCATCATCTCACATATTAAAGGACACGAATTTTTATGTAAAAATTATTTCTCTATTATTATTATTAAAAAAAATTCAAATCCGAACCTTAAACGTATGGTATCTTATCTTTTGGATCAAGACGGCACTTCAGAGAAGTAATTTTTCGATTTTCTCAATAGTTATTTAATACCACGAGAAAAACCACCGATAAATTACAAAAAAAAGGTTATAAACATGATTTTAATTTCTAACGGTTTGTTTTTTACCACAGAAACTAATAAAAAATTATAACATTACAAGCTCCCCGTGCATTTCATTGCCCTTAAAAAATGAAAACTATTAAAAAAATTGTGCTTGTTCAAATCCTTTTGAATGTAACTCGCAGCAGTAAGTGCAATTCAGCCACCCTGGTAGGCAATCCGACTACGTAAGATCGCGGACAATGTGCGACAGCATATCAAGTAGATATGTATATTATCTAATAATATATAAAAATGTCGTGTCACAGTGTTTGTTATTGAACTCCTCCGAAACGGCTTGACCGAAACTAAATAATGTTCCAATTATTATTTATGTTTATTATAAATTACAATTACATATATAATATATAGAATAATAATAATTGTAATAATAATAAAATTATTATTATATAAATTCGTATATTATGTATGTATAAATAAATGGCACTATGGCGTCTAGCTGGCATTTTTAATGACACAAGCAAATAGAAAATATTCGAATTAAAAAAAAAAACTATATGAGTTGCTATGGGTTATAGGATTTGTGAATAATATTTATTTATTATTATTTTTTTTAATTTGATTATTTTTTATTTGTTTGTGTCCATAGCAACCATTAATAAACAAAAATTTCTATCATAAATCTCAAAATTCCTGTTTGAGCACCTTGTTACGTACAGCCCTTCAGGAATCCAAAAGCTGATGCACTTTTACAATAAAATATAGTCAATCTAAATATATAAAAGTAAGTGGCGGTTTCTATTATCATTATGATCTCGAAAACTACCCGACCGATTTACTTGAAATTCAACATAGATATTCAGCTACATCTGAGGAAGGTCAGAACCAACATGAAAACCCCATTCGATGTCTTCCTCGGTCACCAGGTCGAGACGACTTCATGTATATTTTATAATTTTTATGTTTCTATGGAAACTGTTTGTTTATAAGCCACTACGAGCAAAATAAAAATACAAAAATGAAAAGAAGGCATGATAAGAACGATATCGAAGAACAAAAAAATAAGAATAATATAGGAAAAGTTAATGAATGATTATTGCAGAATAAGAGAAGAGTGTCAAAAACAAAATTTTTTGTTGTTTTGATTTAGTTTATTGTGTTCTTTGGTATGGTGGATTATTTAAACGGGTATATGAGGTATACCATCAGAAAAGGCTTGAATTAAGTTTTCCAATAGTGTATTATATTATTTGTAAAAATTATATAATAATCTGTATCATTTTAATGCTTGAGGATATACGATGTTCTTTGTTTTTCTATTCGGACAATAAATGTAGAGATTTTTCGGGTCACCACCTCTTGAACATGCTACATATAATTGACCATGAGAGAAGCACATAGGATCAAGTATAAGTCCTGTACATTTCAATGATTGACCTTGAGTTTTATTTATAGTGAATGTGAATGCAAGTTTTACCGGGAACTGTAATCGCTCAAATCCAAACGGCACATCATTGGGTTTAATAGGTATTCTTGGTATATATACGACTTCAACTTTTCCACATCCGGTTAATATTGTAGCTTCTATTACATTATTTTTCAAAGATTTTACACTTAAACGGGTTACATCACATAATTTAGGTGGATTAATATTTCTTAAAATCATGATAGGTGCTCCAATTTTTAAAGTTGATATATGAGGAGGTAAACCTGGTATTGTCAAAGAATTTAAAAACTCCATTGGATAGTGTATTGAATCTTCGGGATTGCATACTCTATCGATTGATTTATATGTTTTACTTTCTCCTGGTATTATCTTTATTAATATCATCTACCTTACTATTTGTCGGTGCAAGTACGTCTCTTTCACATATCCATTCTTGATTGATATAATTCTTTTGCATATCAGGAAATACATGAGTTTTCAAAGATTCAATTGATTTTACTATATTGCAAAAATTTGATGGAAATTCCACAGTATAATCTGAATCTTCCTTCCATTTCCCATTACCAAGAAGTAGTAATTGTTCTGAAAAAGTTGATAGTGTAGGATCACCTGCTAAAAATACCCTCATGTTTTTTTTAACATTATTATCTTTGTATGTTTCCAAAGATAAGATTTTTTCAAACATGCATCAATTTGGTCAGCAGGTGTTCCATGTGTTATTACCGGTAATGTTTGTCAGAAGTCACCAGCTAAAATAACCACTACTTTTCCCATTATATATTCATTGTTATTCAAATTTTTTAAAATTTTATGCAATGCCTCTGGACCTTTTTTATGTGTCATCGTACATTCATCCCAAATTATAACTATTGTTTTTTTAAGTAATTCACAAGTAGCAGAATTATCTATAATTATCTATAAGGCTCTTCTGTTAAATTGAAATTCAGAGGTAATTTCAGTGCTGAATGGGCAGTACGTCCACCATGTAATATAGTTGCTGCTACGCCAGAAGAAGCTACTGCTAAAGCAATCTCTCCTTTCTTTTGTATTTCCGCTAATATTAAATTTAATAAAAAAGTTTTTCCAGTACCTCCTGGTGCATCTAAAAATATTAAGCTTCCTTCGTCTCTTTTAATAATATCCATAATTTCTTCAAATGCCTCTTTTTGATCATCGGTTAGCTGCGATTCATTTTTATTGATATATGTATTTAAATCTGTGACGTTGTATGATGTTTCACGTAGGATTTCTGTTGGGAGTGACGTATTTTGTATTCGATTCGGTGAAGTCAGTCCCCATTGTTTTAAATTTTTTCCAGATATTAACAAACATCCATCTTCTATGATTATGAGAGTTTCATTGAAGATTTCATCTGTATAATCTAAATCCTCACAAATATTCAATTTTTGTTTTTGATATAATATATCTTAACTCATATTTTTTTTAAATTTGTCCCATAATTTTTGTGGATTTGATGGGACACATGATGTCAAAATGATTATAAAAAGAGATCTTATTTGACTTGATCGTTTTGTGTCATTTGCTTCTGATAATGCATCATCCCAGTGTTTATCATCTTTAAGTAATCCAAGTTTTTGACATGCTTCTGTGTATGTATCATATTCAATACCATCAACAATTTTTAAGTTTTTAAATGATGTTGGACCACGTACATTATGTAATAATATTCGTAGATAAAAACATTCTGGGTTATTTGGATGTATTGTATACATTCGACCTATAGTGTCAGTTTTATAGATATTACTATATTAGGATATTCATTAACTGGACTTCCTTACTTTCACTTGAATTATCCCATGTATAATATTTCGCAACAACGTAATAAAATAATGTCTTGGCAAAATTATCTATTGCACATTATTTAAAAAAGGCGGTTAATGTGGTTTCTGGTGGTTGTTGAGATTTTTTTTTTATATTTTCAACTGAGAAGTAAACAAGTTGTCCATTTTCAAGGTGTACGCTAAGATGAATTATAGATGGATATCGATCATGAATTGGGAAACCTAAAATTCGCCATATTGCTTCATTACTATTTATGTATCTTCCAGATTGATATTCTTCAATTTCATCTTTTTTATTTTTGATTGTAAACATTGCTTGATCACTCCCTTTGTGAATGTATTTTAATATGTATTTTATTGCAACGACTGAACTACATGATTCAAGATTGATATGTGCTTTCATTATTTTTGAAACAAGTGGAGAGTAAGGAACAATACAACTGTTATCTACATCGACTGGTTTACCATTCATCATTTTCATTTTTATAGTAGTTTTAAAGCCACCGAAAATTTTATTAAGAAAATAAAAAAAAATAACACTACCAAACTGAATTCTTTATTTATTAAGAAAAAAAAATTCAAAGTGAAATATTCGTATGGTCGCAACCCGGGCGAAGCCGGGGTAACACCAGCTAGTTTAAAATATAAATCAATTGTAGTTTATTAAAACCAATAATAATTAATATAGTCGTGGTGAATTGTAATGTCGTGAGTTGACTCGTTGTAGTAGTTGATAATCTCCGTGTAAGTTGTGTGTAATGGCTGGTGCATAAGCGGCACGCTCGGTCTTAGCGGCTCTGGTACATCTAATGTGTATTGGGGCCCTGGCCTCTATATATATTATATACGAAGGCGACGTCTTTTGAACTGAACGGCGCTTGGCATGTAGGCGCCCTTGGAAAGTTGTAGTGGTTTGGAGCGTCCATTCTAGCTATGACCACTTGTAGGTGCGGTCGACGAGGCCGCCTTTCACATAAGCAGTTCTTGTTATTGATGAATTGCGTAATCCCATTACAACCTCCCAGGGGTGATCAATTCACTTTTTAAATAAGCCTAAAACGTATTCTCAGACCTATCAAATATATATTTGATCAAAATTGGTCGAGCCGTTTAGTAGGAGTTCAATAACTAACACTGTGACACGACAATTTTATATATTAGATAATATTAATTCAACTTACAGGCTATAATAAATAATAACAGTATATAATATCCGGACTGAAAAACGGTCTAATATCAGAATCGTTTTTTATACCATGATATTAAATCATTGAATTCGAGTTAAATAAAATCCATTATGCATTGACTCACTTCTAACCTACTGTACAGTGGAGTGACTTCCACTTTATTACTGATTTATCCATTATAAAGGAGTTGCTGTTATAGGGAGACTTAAATACACCATAACGGTTATAATATGGGACTGTTGTTATTTTCGTTGTAGAAATATTACAGTATTATAAGCAGTCCACTTTAACCATTTTAATGTGTACTTGAGTGAAAGAATGTTGTGTTATTATTAACAAAATAAAATAGTATATTTTACTATTTTGAGCTTACCTTCATTAGCTGTAAATGTATAAACGTAAATCGTTATTATAACCAGTGGTTCGAATTATAAATTATGTAAACAATTAGTAGACTTATGATTTGCATTTTCTGCATTTTCTGCATGTACAAATTAGATAATTATTAAATTTATTAAAATTATGTAAAATAGAATATACTATTTATGAGTTTTCTTTCATCAACTGTGAATGTATAAACGTAAATCGTTATTGAAATCGTGAAATTGCCTAGTGTAATTATTCAGTTATTCAATTATTGTATAAAATATATTCTGTTTTTAAATTTGTTACTTATTCTATGATTTGTAAATAATGCTATACTCTTTTCCACGAGAGAAAATGCCGGTTCTGTGTATCCTCTACGTCACCATGCTGTCGAAACTGGTTCCCCACTGACAGGGTGTGGTGTGTGGGAACCAGTTTTGGTCGGTGCGTGGCATGATCTCTTGTGGGACAGAGTATACCAGTTATGTGTTTTCTAACTTCGTGGAGATTCACATTCATCGTATCTATGAAATAATATATAGCGGAGACTATACTTAAATGAGACCAACCACAGTAAAATCAAGAATTTATACAATATCTTCTATACAATGGATTTCTAAATACACATTTTTGAGCCAGTTTTTGATATAATCATAATTTAAAAAATATCAGAGTGAATGTTTTGTGGTGCATGTTTTCACCACAAAATTTAAATAACTACCTAAATATGTTACTAAATACATGGTTAAATTTGTTTTAGTATAACACCTCAATCAACATGCATGGGAGTAACACTGTCCAATTTCATTAAAAAAATATTAATGTAGAAAATATAAATCTAGAGTGCAGAACCTGTATCATAGGTATAAATATAAAACTTGATTTGTAAGATATAAAATCATAAATTTCAAATAATAATTATTCTGAACGGAGACTGTTTATATCGTGTAATAAGCCGATTGTCGTTGAATTCAATTAATAAATTAAAGAACTATCCTTGTATCGGTGAATCCGAAATGTATGCCAAAAAAATAAATATAAATTGGAATGTCCAAATTGCATGCCATATCTTAGAAGGGGTATGTCAAAATAGAATTATTAAATAACTTACTTTTCCACTGGAGGAACGTGATTTTGTTACATTACATTAAAATTTATAAATATTGCAGAAGGTGACACTGTGAATAATAAATATTAAATAAAACTCTTTTTTTTTCATCAACAACAAATGCCATTAGTTAAATAAAACTGTTGTAGCTTATTGTAATCAAATCAGCGTATTTTATATGTTTACATAGGTAGTGTTTCAAATAAATAATATTATTCTAAAATTTGGTGGTTTTTTTGACAATTTAAATATACAATATATATAATAATAGCTCATAATAATAAAATATGTCAATATGTAAAGTATATATTAATAATACTAAATATACCAGAAACATATTTTTTTGAATAATAAAATAGTAATAGCATTTTATAAGACGGTTAATATTAATGTTGAAATACCTTATAAACAGTGTTCAGCTTATCTAGATAAATATTCTTTTATCTTTTATCTTTTATCTTATCTAGATAAATAGAAAATATAATTTACACAGATAAGATAAAAATCACCGTTATCTAGATACATTTATCCAGGTAGTTTAATTTATCAAAGGCTTTTATTTATAATAGAATATAGGAAGACAATTAATTAATTTATTAAGTAGGTAGTATTTACTAATAACTATCGACATTTTCGGTAACATACTATTAAGTTATTCTATATTGCTACAAGATTACGGAGAGTGCCATAAAAAAATATAAAAATAATTTATCCCATAATTTATCTAGATAAATAAATAATTTATTTATCTTTATCTTGCAGATAACATTATTATAATTTATCTTTATCTACATAAAATTATATTTATCTCGGCTCAACACTGCTTATAAATTATAAAAGCTTCACAATTTGACAGCTACAAACACTAAAGTGACGGATACGAGTATGTCTATGTCTGTGAAACAGACTACAATACACTAAATTAATAAAATATAGATACAGTTTGGGAAAATATTTACTCGAATATAAAAATATTTCAAACTAGAAACTAATCAGTTGTAACAACTAACAACCATACATAAAAGAACGCTTCTATACATGCATTTTTTTTTAAACTATGAAAGTCCAAAAAAAGTTTAAGTTGTATAAGTGCATTATAAATATAAGCATGAGGTTCACGGCATGCAATTGGGACAGACCCCTCTAAGAGATGGCATGCAATTCGGATAAACCTCTAGAAGAGACGGCATTCAATTTGGACTTTTTTTTTTTTGACATGCAATTCGGATGCAGCTCCTTATATATATAAAAGAACAGGCCTTTTTTATGTTAACATTTTGTGATGACGCTATTAAACTTTTTTCCAATTTTATTTCACAGAGTTGTTCCAAATACTTTCCTGAGTGTCACAAAGGGTCCCGATTTTCAAAATTTAAATTTTAAAGGGTTGAAATCGGTAAAAATAATTTTTTAGGTGTAATTTTGTACATATAAATTCATATAATAATAACAATAGCAGTCTGCCGATAACGGGAAATACGGTACGGCATGGATGCCTGGGCGATGCACGTTAGGACTAGGGACGTTTGGGTCACTATTAAAAATGTAAACCCGTTTGGTCCAGGATTTTGTGAACCCGTTTGGGTATTTTTTTTTTCACTACATGTTAAAAGAAAACCCGCTTGGACGTTAGTTAAACTGTGAAACTACTTTGTAGATTACCTATGTACCTACAGCAAAATTATTTATAATTGATAACTGACCAAAAACCCAGAGTTACATTATACGCATATACAAATATATAATAGATATCTGTTATGATACGTCCCATAATACTAATTGTGGTTATATATCATTATTATTATTTATCACAAACATTAATACACTATGTTCTACGTATGCGCAATGCGCAGTGGTGACATCGAGGCCCAGTTTCTATTGTTCATACCATACTAGGTTAGTATTAGTATTTTGGTTAGTATATATTATAGTGCACTCATAATTCGTGTAGTTAAAATGGATATCAAAATCAAAAATGTTTTCCAAACAAAACGAGGCAATACTTGTATAACTGTTGGTAATTTTAAACTTAGTAAATGTAATATTTTAAAGAATAATAATATTCGTTTTCGGTGTACAAATCGTTCATGAAACGTGACTATTATCGTTAATGATAAGCTAAATGAAATAATTGAAACTAAAAATTGTCCTTGCGAACATCCTCCTCTGAAAGATGATTCGATCAAATTGCACATTATTTAGAACAGCTGTAAAAAGAAAGGGGACAGAAGACCTGCATACCAAACCAAACAAAATTATTTTAAAAGAAATACGTCAAAGCGGATTTGATACAGATATTATTGAATATTCTGTTTTAAGGTTGGTGCCTAAATCATTATATTGTGCCGTTAGAAATTATTTCCGATGTTACCACAAACATTAGAAGATGTAATTGATATACATTCTGCAGAATAGATGGCGACAATATTGCAGAATTTAACGATGAAAAATTTTGTCATATTTCTTCGGATAAAATTTTAATTTTATTCACCTGCAAAGCAAATCTTAATTTGTTGTGTGAAGCAGCACACATGTTTTTGGAGATGGTACATTTCGTTATGCCCCTAAATTCTATTTTCAGCTATATACAATTCATGTGTATGTAAATAAATATCGTCTCTCTTTTAATTATATATTCAAGATGAATAAGTTTTGAACATCATACACAAAATATTAAATAAACGAATTGAACAAAGTTTAAATCATATAGAGTTGGTACATATTTCACGAAGTGAATCGGATCAGCTACTCTATACAGGCTGTAACAGAAAGAACTGAATTATATTGCCAACTATTTGACCCGAGGTAACTGTTGCCCGG